TACTGAGGTCTGTGGCTGCCACCTGCTATTCTCGGGAGTGACGTCCACTTATTAATAGCCACTGTTTGACAGCGAACCTTCTGGCTGCCTTCTGGCACTCAGTCTACCCACGTAGACTGCAGAGTGGTTATCACAGCAGCTAACATTTATTGTGGGAACCATGGTGGTTCAGTGGTAGAATTCTCACCTTCCATGCGAGAGACCTGGGTTCAATTCCCAGCCAGTGCAGATAGCCACCACCTATCTGTCATTGGAGGCTTGTGTGTTGCTATGATGCTGCCCAGGTTTCAGCAGAGCATCCAGACTAAAACAGACTAGGAAAAAAGGTCTGATGATCTACTTCCAAAACATCAGCCAGCGAAAACCTTACGAATCACGACAGTCCTATCCCACTGTGCATGGTGTTGCCGTGAGTCAGGGGCCAACTTGGTGGCAGCTAACAGCAACAACAACATTGATTGCACACTTACTGCGTCCCAGACCTGTGCTTGAAGTATTAAATGGCATGGATGACATCATTTAATCCTCATCGTGAGTCTGTGAGGGAATTGTTGTCATCCCGTTTCACCAAGGAGGGAACCAAGGCTTGGGAAGTGAGTGGCAGAGCCAGGGTTGCACCTGGGCAGGTGGACCTAAGCATTATTCCCACCTCACCTCGCCACACTCCATTGCACAGATTAATTGTGTTGAAGGACAGAGTCCCAAGCCTCCCTGAAATTATAGCATTCGTCTTTGTCTCTCGGTCTCCCAGGCCCCCTCACTGAGTGTTTTCCAGAACATCAGCTCAGCCTGATGGGACTTGTAGGTGCAGGCAGGCTGATGGCTCCACGCCAGCCTGTGGTCCTCCCACTCTGAGCTGTTCATGCCTACATGTTGGGGCTAGAGAGTGCAGCGGAGTGAGTGTGTGCATCCATGTGGTTTCCTGATCTTTTTATTTTCTTACCATGAACACAGGTTTCCTACTCTCTTGGCTCTGCTTTTGTCTGGTTGGTGAGGTTAATGCACAGACTGAGGCCTGTTCTTTGAGGGCTTGGCTGCCTGCTGTGTGTTCATGCCCTGACCAGTGTGAGCTGTGGCACTGAATCCCCGCCCAGCAGCTCCGGGAATGTTTTGGGGGCTGTCCTATGATAGGAAGAGCTTCAAACGCTACACTCTTTTGATCCAACTGTAACTCTTTCAAAGAGGGTCCATGTCTCTGCTTTCCATCCCTACCCCAGTTCTCTGGGAGGGACCCCCATCTGCAGACAAAGTTATGTCCCCCAGAAATTACACACTTCCTCAGAGCACTACAAGCTCTCCTTTCCAACAACACCTGTAGCTGCTGTCCTTCATACATGGCTTCTGTTAACTACCTGATTCAGGTCTGTTGTCCCCACAAAAAAACAGACTTAATGCTGTTGAGTCGATTCTGACTCATGGCGACCCCATGTGTTACAGAGTAGAACTGCTCCATAAGGTTTTCTTGGTTGTAATCTTTACAGCAGCAGACTGCCAAGCCTTTCTTCCACAACACCAGTGGACGGGTTTGAACCACCGACCTTTCAGTTAGTAGCACAAGCACAAAGCATTTGCACCACCTGAGGATTTGTATCCCCCACCAGAGAGTTGGTTTCATGAAGGCGGAGATGATGTTTGTTTTGTTTGCTGCTGTACCCCAGCACCTGGCTTGGTGCCTAGCATAAGAGCTGATGAAGCTCAATGCACTTTTGAAAATGAATGAGTGAATGATAGAAAGTTCTCCAGCCCGAGCTTGCTGCCTCCTAGACACGGGACTGCTCAGCAGCCTCCCCTTACCGGTCACTGCGCTTTTCCCACAGTTGCAGTAGGTCCTGGGATCCTCTACTTAGCAACCTGAACTAGTGCTGGATTAGCAACCCTACTTGGCTGCTCACTAAAAGGTTGGCGGGTTGAACCCACCCAGATGGTGGCTCAGCGGAAGAAAGACCTAGCGATCTGCTCCTGTAAAAACTACAGCCAAGAAAACCCTGTGGGGCCGTTCTACTCTGTCACGTGGGTTCATACTTGACGACACCTAACAGTGAATGAAAACCATTTAGAGTGCTTGCTTTGGCAGCACGTATGCTAAAATTGGAACGATACAGAGAAGATTAGCATGGCCCCTGCACAAGGATGACACACAAATTTGCGAAGCGTTCCATATTTTTCCGGAGAAACCCTGAGAGTATGGCCCCCCGACACACTTAGCTCAGTAGTGAAGTCACTCCCGAGGTTCACCCTTCAGCCAAAGATTAGACGGCCCCATAAAGCAAAACAAGACTAAAGGGGCACACCAGCCCAGGACAAGGACTAGAAGGCAGGAGGGGACAGGAAAGCTGGTAATAGGGAACCCAAGGTCGAGAAGGGAGAGTGTTGACATGTTGTGGAGTTGTTAACCAATGTCATAAAACAATATGTGTGCTGTTTAATGAGAAGCTAGTTTTTTCTGTAAACTTTCATCTAAAGTACAATAAAAAAACAAAAAAATACTTAGAAATCAAGTCAATCACAGCCTGCAGAGTGCCCCAGGCAGACAGACACAATCTGGTGAGGTGGCCATTGCAAGTTGTCTCTAACTTCCGAGTCGATGTCTCGTGGAGGAAGCACCTGCTCCCAATCTCACGGTTAAAATGATAACAGCAGTATCTTGCCTTTCGTGTGTGTGTGTGTGCGTGCGCGAGGAAATAAACTTAGGCAATAATCTGGAAAAAATAATCATAAAATGAACATTAAACACTACATTCCTCCCCTTCCCTTTCTGATTTCTGTCAGTGTCATCTGCCTGTTTTCGCGTAGTTGTACTTCATCTGTACGTATTCGGCGTTACATTTTTTTCTACGTTTAGAATCGCTGCGTGTGCACATTTCCATGTGCTGACAGTTCACGTAGTTTTTCTTTTTTTGCTCTTCTGAAACTGTAAGTCTTGGATATCCTCGTAAATCAGCAGACAGAGAAGTATCTTCTTATTTTTCACAGTTGGGTGTGTCCACTAATAGATGCACCAGAATAGTTAACCGATCTCCTGTGGGTGGGCATTTAAGTTGTGTTCTTTTTTTTTTTTTTTAATTTCATATAATATTGCAGTGAATGAATATCCTTAAATAAAATTTTGTTTACATGCTGGAGTTTATCTGCTGGATAATGTTGGGTCAAAGAATGCGAACACTTAAATTACGCTCCAGAATCACTTCCAAGATGGTTGTGGCAATTGACACGTTCTCCATTAAGTCTTTTTTTTTGTTTGTTTTTAAAGACGATTTGGTGTTATATATGTCAGTGTGTCACAGTTTATTTTGCCACTTATTTTTGAGCCTTAGAGTTACGTCCCAAGTGGGGCTGTCATTTTAAAAATCTTTGCTAGTTATGAAATTACCTGACTTTTTCAAGTTCCCTAAGATTTGAGTTTTGTACTCTTGAAAACTTAAGAGTTAGGTAGAAACAGGCAGTATTTCATCACAATTGTTTTCCACATTGTATAGACAAGAAAACTGAGGTCCAAGGGCCAGATGTTTTGCTCACAGTTATACCGTTAATGGCAGAGATTGATCAAGACCCCTGTCTCCTACCTCAACCCCCAAGAACATTTTCTTCTGTGCCACACTCCAGAGAAAGAACAGACCCAGCCCCCTGTGGGTTTAGGTCAGTGAAAGTGTAAAGGATGTCGCCGTGTTTGAACCTTACAGTTCTCTCCTGTAAACTATTGCAGCCCTTGGTATAGGAGTGATGCTGTTGACTGGTCCCGGCAGGGCTGGGCACTGAGTTAGCGGTCCCACAAGCTGATGACTGAGAGTGATCCAGCCGTATCCTCCTCCTGTTGAAAGGCTGGCAGTTCAAACTCACACAGTAGTGCCATAGAAGAAAGGCCTGGAGATCTGGTTCTCATAAAGATTACAATCAAGAAAACCCTATGGAGCTCAGTTCTACTCTGTAACACATGGGGTTGCCATGAGTTGCAATAGACTTGATGGCAACGCGTTTGGGTTTTTTTTGTTTTTTTGGTTCCTCTTGGTACTCAGGGCTCCGTTTTTGGCCTGTTGGCTGGAGTCTGGGCATTCTCTGGCCGTGGAACAGACTGACGCCGAACTGCCTCTTTCACGAGGGGTTTGAATCAGGTCCATTGGCTCAGGAACAAGGTCTCCAACCACTGGAATTTATCAGCCACAAGTTTCTAGGAAATGTAAATTAAGGGCAAAAAAGAAACATGGGAGGATTTCTAAAAGGAGAAACACTAGGATGAGCTTCCTCTGAAGCCTTCAGAAGAAGGGTTCCTTGGGGGATTAAAATCAGAGCAAGTATTAGGAGACCAGCTTTTCTCTGCCCCGACAGGCACTGGGAAGATGACCTAATCCACACAGAGATGATGTTGAAGGAGAGAGGGCTGTGTTGCTGTGGGGTACACTTGTAGATAGCAGGGGCTGGTGGCTCCCAGTTCCAATTCCCAGATACTCACCCCTCCAAACCCAGAGCTGATACGATTTGGCTGTCTCAGGCCCCCATAATGGCACCCCACCTGGAGGCCTGGGAGCTAATCTTCCAGGTCTTCACTGAGACCCCTTATCTAGACATCACTTAGATTTAATTAGCTCCCTCAAGTAATTCAGAATAGGTTGAGAATGACTGATGGGGAATATTTGCAATGTAAATGAAATGCTAGGAAACCCGGAGGAATCTCTGCTTGGTAGACCATGAGGCAGAATTTTATTTTGAGGTAGGGATGACTTTCCACGTAAGATTTTTATACTTAAAGCTATCCTTCTGTACCCCGACCCTTTTCCCCCAGGCTAGAAAACTGGCAGTCAGCAACTTATCATGTCTTTGTTTGAAATTGGTCAACTCTCTCTGTTATAGACTCTTTCAGTCAGCTCAAAATGTCGTGTGCTCTTACTGGAACTTAAGCAGATGAAAACATTTGGCTTAAGGGGGACGTGGGTCTCTCTGGAAGCCCTTTCTCATCATGAAGTCACATGAAGCCGTGTCCTTGGTCTTCTCCTGCAGGTACTGATGAGGAGTACATTTATATGAACAAAGTGACAGTCAACAAGCAACAGAATGCCGAGTCCCAAGACAAAGGTATGGGGCCTGGGACTGCTGATGGCATAGCTGGCTCCCAGGATGGGGAAGGGACAAGGGACAAGGCTCGGTCCCACCCCACCCTCCTCCCTTCCAGCCAGGACCACAGACAGGCATGGCCGGTGGAGTTGTTTTTGGAAGCCACATTTTGGTGGATGGTATTTTGGGCTGATGTATTTCTGGAGATTTTAGCGGGCCACCTCCCGTCCCTTTCATGGGTAAGGAATCTGTCCCTAAGACCTCTCAGCTTTTCCCAGCACCATCCCCAGCGTAGGAAGTCGTGACTTAGACGTCCTAATCAAGCAGCTGTGTCTGGTGCTGATCCCACGGTGCCAGCATATGTCTTCTGATAGAAGTCTGGATTTTTTCTTTCTTTTTTTTTTCTTTTTGGTGCAGAGAGGAGAAGTGGTGGTATCAGTAACTGCCTTAATATTCAGAGACTGTGTTCAGAGGTGGCCTCTTTGGCGGAACGTCTTAGCTTCCATTGGAAGGACAGTGTGTCTTCCATGGCGCCTCACCCTCTGCTCGGCTCCGCACCCTGCTTTTTTCAGTTACAGCCTCCTGCCGTGGGTCCGGAGGATCCCAGGGAGGTACAGAGGCTTGTAGAGCTGCTAGTTGCAGAGGAGGATGGATGCGAATCCCTGTCTCCCAACTCCCAAACCTGCAACTCAAATGCCAAGGCTTAGCGAGTGGTGGGAACACAGCACCCTAAACACTCAGCCCCAAGGAGACAGGTGGGTGCTTTGTTTGTGCCTGTTAGAGGCTTGGCTTCAAGACCTCAGCCACCAAAGCTAAAGAGCATTCCTGCCTGAGCCTGTCTGTCCCGGGCTCAGAAGAGCCTCTGGTCCCTTTTCCTTACAAGCACACACATAGTGGGTGCTCTGACTCCCCCTGGTGTGGTCTCCATCGCCTGCCCCACCACCAGGCTGAGGCTCCACAGAACTCATCCGTAAGTGAGACGGCCTCTCTGCCAGTGACGTTTGCCTTCTGGGTAAACTGCGGGCTGGAGAGAGCCATAATGACAGGGTTGGTACTGAGAACGTCTCAATATAGTGGCCACCGTGCAGCTCCTCTGAGGATGAAAGCTCTGTGGCTGGGCCATTTTTGACGAGGGCTGGATGGGGGAGAGGAAGCATGCCAGAAACCCTAAGCAGGTTCCTTCCCAGGTGAAGACATTAGTATGTCCTATTGGAGGAAAACACTATTTAGTCTCCCGGGACCACCTGCCTGGGTAATTAACACCTGTTCAAATAGAAGTCACTGTACCTGTGACCAGACATTCTCAGGTAGCGAGCCCACGCAGTGAAGCACAGCACCCCTCACCAAAGCCCTTCTCCTGCTTCCTGCCCACAGCGCCCCAGGAGCAGAGCCCGCTGATCAACGGGGAGCCCGGCCGGCACTCCTCGGCCCCCCAGAAGAGCCTGCCTGATCTCCCACCACCCAAGATCGTAAGTGTTGGCCCAAGAGCCCAATTTCCCAGACTCAGGCCCCTAGAACTTCCTTTCAGTTGTCCTCACTGGTTTTGATCCATTGAGTGTCTGGTACTTTCTGAGCACCTACTGTGTGTAGGGCATAGGGCAAGGCCCTGGGGTAAAGAGAGCAAAAGTGGGTCTGTCCCCTGCCCGCAGTGATGTGTCGTTTGCTCAGGGCCCCAGTACTCAAGATGCTAAGGGTGGTGGGCGTGGGCAGTGGAGGGAGATCCCCTTTGCCCAGTGCCACCACGTGCAGTGCCGCTTTGCCCTGCAGAGCCACGGTCACCAGCTCAGGCCATGGTGATAACTAGAACAGAAATAATGGGAATGTTGATGCAATGTGAAGAATGTAACCAATGTCACCAATCATTATGCTTAGAAACTACGGAATGGGAGTGAGTTATGTGTGTGTTATTTTCACCAAAAATATTAATATCAAACACACACACACACACACACATACATATATATAAATCATATCACACTGCACTTCCTGCCTGAAACCTGTCAGCGGTTCCCATTGCATTTAGGAAAAAACGTCCATGTTCATTAGCTCCAGCTCCATACATTCCTCTCTGAATCCAGTGTTGGATTCTGACACCGACGCCTTCGTCTGCCATGCCCTGAGGCAGCTGCTGATGGGCTGACACCTGGGGTGGGCGTTCATGGGCCAGGTCTTCCGGCACTGAGCACTGAGCGGTGCCAGCTCCGTTCTAGGAGTCTGTGGTTACAAACATGGTGGTGAACTGACAGGCCTAGGGTGGGGGACAGAGGCTGTGGTGAGAAACTTACTCAGGTCACAGGGTGAGGGATGTCACTTCCTTGCCCACGAGTCCCCACAGCCCTGGATTCTGGCCTTGGGGTTGACTGAGCCTTTGTCAGTCTCCTGCTCCTTGGCACTAAGGGCAGGCCCCAAGGGCTCTGGGTGTGAATCACGGGCCTCTGAGCAAGGTGAGGGGGCGGGGAGAAGAGGAAGGGCAAATAAATGGCCTTCCTCTAGAGCAGGCTTCCTGTGTCATCTGTGACTGGGGGCTGCTTGGGGCCAGGAGAGTTAGTATCAGTGTCAGAGAGAAACCCTGTGCTAGAGTTGGGAGAACATCACCACCCAACAATAACGGGACTCTGCGGTGGCCTTTCTGACATGTGGTAACTGCTCCTGTGGACAGACTCTGGACCCCGGGGAGACGTACAGCAAAGGAGCTGACTTTATGGTTTAAGCCAGTTCCCTCCTCATGGAATTTTTCGCTGGGAAGGACGAGTCGTGCTGGCTCCATTTCTAGGTCCTTCCTACTTCTGTCTCTGGCACCCACCACTTGTCCCAGGGGACTCTCGGATTCGGATGTGGAGCGAGGACGGGGGTAGTATGAGCCAGGGAAACCCCCCTCCCTACACGCATGCACACACACCCACACCCACCCACACGCACACACATGCACGCACGCACACTGATACACACGCGCGTGCACGTGCGCACACACGTCTTCTCTCTCTCAGGCCTTCTCTCTGGTCAAGTCTGGGCTGAAGTGGCCATAATCCTCAGTCCAAGGCCTGTAGCTGTGTGTTTGGTCTGAGGGAAGAGGGAAAACAGGGCAGCAGCAGGAGCTTCTGAAGGGAGCGTGGCAACTCTGCCTAGCCAGGCTTGGGGTGATCCTGTGGCCTCTCTTCCTCAAGGCAGAGAAAGTCCCGTCCCTTCCTACCCTCACCCAGAGCTTCAGGGCTCCATGGTGCTCCCCCAACTGGATGTCCAGCCCCCCGCTGCCTGACCCAGGGCTCATCTGCCCGGGGTACCTCTGCCCCTGCTCAGGATGCTGGCGGGTGCGAGCCCTGAGTTCTCATTACTGTGTCTTGGGTCCCTGCTCCATCCCCACAGAGTCAGTGGGTAGCAGGCCCATCCAGCAAGGGAAAGGGCAGCCAGGGGTCTGAGCAAACTCGAGGGTGTGGACAGTGACTCAGGCAGCTGTGATGTCTCCAGGCTGCTGTCTGCACTGCCAGGTGCTGTGTTCACTGTGGGAGAAACAGCTGTCTGCCGGCCACTGTTGATCCTCCTGGCTAGCACAGCCATCTGTTTCCCACCTGGCTTTGAGGCCTGCACACGTATTGGTGCTGGCCTTAAGCGAGCTGCTCTGTGAGAGAAGCAGCTGATTCCGCTAAAGGACATTGCCGTGGCCAGTCTGGGAAGCTGGGGCTGGCCTTGTCCACGAGCCCCCGACCCAGGAAACATCCACAGTGTACTATGGGGCAGTGAATGCTTCACGTCATCTTGGGTCAGCAAACTACAGCCTAAGAACGAAAACTGGCCCACTGCCTATTTTTGTAAATAAAGCTTTATTGGAACGTAGCCATACTTAAACTTGTTTATGGATTGTCTGTGGCTGCTTTTGTGCTACAACAGCAGAGTTGAATAGCTGTGACAGAGACCACATGGCCTGCAAAGTCCTAAAATATTTACTATCCGGCCCTTTACAGAAGAAATTTCTCCCTTTTCTCCTGGATCGTTTCTGAGTACCGAGACCATGTGGCTTTTGTGTCTTTTCCTGAGAACCATCAGAAAATTCTTTTATGTTTTGAAGTCAAATCTCTTTTGCATCTTCATTTAATATTTACAACCATGATGATGATGATATTGATAATTAAACTAAAAAACCCACTGCTATCCAGTCGATTCCAACTCATAGTGACCCAGTAGGACAGAGTAGAACTACCCCACAGGGATTCCAAGGCTGTAAATCTTCATGGAAGCAGACTGCCACATCTTTCTCCTGCGGAGCAGCTGGTGGTCGAACTACTGACTTTTCAGTTAGCAGCTGAGTACTTAACCACTGCGCCACCAGGGCTCCTTGTTGTTGTTAGGTGCTTAGGTGCTCCAGTCGGTTCCAACTCACAGCAACCCTGTGTGCACTAAAACAAAACACTGCCAAGTCCTGCGCCATCCTCACAATCGTTGCTATGTTTCAGCCCATTGTTGAAGCCACTGTATCAGTCCATCTTGTCTAGGGTCTTCCTCTTTTTCGCTGACCGTTTACCTTACCAAGCATGATGTCCTTCTGCTAACATGTGCAAAGTACATGAGACAAAGTCTCGCCATCCTCACTTCCATAGAACACTCTGGCTGTACTTTTTCCAAGACAGACTTATTTGTTCTTCTGGAAGTCCATAGTATATTCACTATTTTTTCTCCAACACCATAATTCAAAGGCATCTTTCTTCTTTTGTCTTCCTTATTCATTGTCCAGCTTTTGCATGCATATGAAGCAACTGAAAATATCATGGCTTGGTTGGAAATGGGGAACCCAAGGTCAAGAAGGGGAGAGTGTTGACACATCGCAGGGTTGGCAACCATTGTCACAAAACAATTTGTGTATTGTTTAATGAGAACCTAATTTGCTCTGTAAACTGTTACCTAAAGCACAATAAAAATAAATGAAGTGGAAAGTAAAAAATATATATATTTTTATAAATATTTATATGTCATGGCTTGGGTCAGGTGCACCTTAGTCCTCAAAGTGACATCTTCGCTTTTCAATACTTTAAAGAAGTCTTTTGTAGCAAATTTGCCCAATGCAATGCGTCGTCTGATTTCTTGACTGCTGCTTCCATGGGTGTTGATTGTGGATCCAAGTGAAATGAAATCCTTGACAACTTCAATCTTTTCTCCATTTATCATGATGTTGCTTATTGGTCCAGTTGTGAGGATTTTTGTTTTAGTTATGCTGAGGTGCAATCCACACTGAAGGCTGTAGTCTTTGATCTTCACCAGTAAGTGCTTCAAGTTCTCTTCACTTCCAGCAAGCAAGGTTGTGTCATCTGCATATCGCAGGTTGTTAATGAGTCTTCCACCAACCCTGATGCCGCGTTCTTCTTTGCATAGTCTAGCTTCTCAGACTGTTTGCTCAGCATACAGATTGAATAAGTATGGTGAAAGGATACAATCGTGATGCACACCTTTCCTGATTTTAAACCACACAGTATCCCCTTGTTCTGTTTCAACGACTGTCTTTTGGTCTATGTACAGGTTCCTCATGAGCACAATTAAGTGTTCCGGAATTCCCATTCTTCACATTGTTATCCATAATTTGTTATGATCCACACAGTCGAATGTCTTTGTGTAGTCAATAAAACACAGGTAAACATCTTTCTGGTATTTTCTGCTTTCAGCGAAGATCCATCTGACATCAGTAATGATATCCCTTGTTTCACATCCTCTTCTAAATCCGGGTTGAATTTCTGGCAGTTCCTTGTTGATGTAATGCTGCAACCGTTTTTGAATTATCTTCAGCAAAATTTTACTTTTATGTGATGTTAATGATATTGTTTGAGACTTTCAACATTCTGTTTGATCACTTTTCTTTGGAATGGGCACAAATATGGATCTCTTCCAGTCAGTTGGCCAGGAAGCCGTCCTCCAAATTTCTTGGCATACATGAGGGAGCACCTCCAGTGCTGCATCCGTTTGTGGGAACATCTCAATTGGTATTCCATCAATTCTTGGAGTCTTGTTTTTCCCCAATCCCTTCAGTGCCGCTTGGACTTCTTCCTTTAATATTATCGGTTCTTGATCATATGCTACCTCCTGAGATGGAAGAACATCAAACAATTCTTTTTGGTACAGTGACTCTGTATTTTCCTTCCATCTTCTTTTGATGCTTCCTGCGTCAGTCAATATTTTGCCTGTAGTATCCTTCAAAATTACAACTCGAGGCTTGAATTGTTTCCTTAGTTCTTTCAGCTTGAGAAATGCCGAGCTTGCTCTTCCCTTTTGGTTTTCTAACTCTAGGTCTTTGCACATTTCACTATAATACTTCGTCTTCTCAAGCCATCTTTTGAAATCTTCAGTTCTTTTACTTCGTCATTTCTTCCATTTGCTTTAGTTGCTGTATGTTCAAGAGCAAGTTTCAGCATCTCTTCTGATGTCCATTTTGGTCTTTTCTTTCTTTCCTGTCTTTTTAATGACCTCTTGCTTTCTTCGTGTAGGATGT